CAGAAGGCAGGCCGGCTCCTGTTCAGCCTCAGCTGGGAGCGTGGGTATCGGGCGACTGAAATATTTCACCACTCGGTGCACGTCCGTGAATGGCCACGAAAGCACTGTGAGTAGATTTAGGGTTACACATAAATTTTAGAGGGTGAGCAGATTTGCTGATGTGGAATCCATGAATAATGAGGACTGACTGTACTTCCGAAAGGGCTGCGTGAACAACTCACGTGCAAGGGCTGACAGAGACCCAGAGCTCTGAACTGGGTAAGTTCCTGCTCAGCTCCTGGTGGGCAAGATCTGGGACTTGGTCATTGTCCCAGGATGAGGGACTCCCGTGGAGACGTAATCTGAGGTGGTGAGGGAATAGCAGGCGCCAGGAAGCTACCGTGAGTTAGAGATGGGGTTTAAGGAGGCAGTGGGCACCCCCAGGGCCCTTCCTGCCCACAAGCCCAGAGGAAAAGAGAAGGAGGGATAAAGTGGTTCCCAGAACAGAAAGAGGGGTCTCCTGAAACCAGTGACAGCCATCAAAGCATGGGGTACAGTTGTCAGGGGTGTCAAGGAATGGGCTTAATAAGGGTTAATGACAATTCTGAAATTATGTTTTTGTATTTAGAGTGCAGATATCCTGTTTGTTTTTTATCAGTGACCTAGATGATGTCACAAAGAGCTTGCAAAATCAAATCTGATGGCTGACACTAATTTTGTCCCCAGAGAAAGAGTCTGGCACCCAAGGAAGGTTTGGGCGCATGTTGACAGAGGAAGGGAAAGAGGGACAAGATCCTTATTTGGTTTTATAATTAAGAAGACACCGAGCCACAACATGGTCAATCGTGCTGCTGGAGGATCAGCTCACGCCAAATCATCCAGCATATGGCCCTACAGAACTGCCAGGAGAGCTGGGGTTGGCTGGCACTTCTCTGGGCACCCTGCTCCTACGGGACCACCCTTCCTGCCGATGCTACCGATCCCAAGGGCACCCCTCCGCCGGTGTCCTGCCGGTTAATCTCCCTCCCAGGGTCAGCTTCCCAGGAACAGACTCTAGACAGACAATCATTCATCGCCTTAGTTTGCTCATCTTGTCAGGTGCTGCTGGGGTGGGGCTGGGCAGGCGTAGAGAAAATCCCCACACCGGAGGAGGTGAGCGCTCGCTCGCTCGAGGTCACCGCTGGCAGCGGACGAGCAGGTTGGCCAGGACCCAGCCCTGTTCGGAGGCTGCGCCTCTGTCCTGCATCCTGAGGGAGGGCAGCTTGAGGCGGGACACAGACCTTAGTGGCCCCCCTTCCAGCCAGGAGGTCACCAAGTCAAATGGGGCAGAGCGCCCGGGGGCATGTTGCTCTTTGAGGAATGCATGAAATACTCCTTTAGTACACTGACATTATGAAGTGCATACTTCTGTCTGAAATCAGCAGACGTCTTTGACTAGTTTCCCCAAATAAACAACTAGTTACCAGTTGTTCAAGTTTTAAGAAAAGGAGAACAATTTTGCACTGGTTACGAGCTTTACCTTTTTCTGGCAAGGAGGAGACGACATCCACACTCAGTGTTAATCGCAGAGCCCTCCGACGTGGGGGCTGCGGAGCAGAGGGCCCGCCTTCCCTACCGGCCCTGCCAGTGGGGGCAGGGCTTTAAAAGTTGATCCAGGAGAAGGAAGGATGATCTTGGGTGCCTTGGAGGGGATACCAGGCCAAGCTCCCTGGGCTCACAAGCAAAAACCCTGCCCGTCTGGGGACCACGAGGTGACAGCCCACACCAGACTGCAGACATCTTCACCCCACTCTCCCCTTACCGTGTTTCCTAAGGGCCTCGAACTACCCTGATTCAAGGAGTGAGCTGGTGCTAAGACCGTTTCCAGGTACTTTGCAAGGATTAGCTCATTTAAGCCTCCCAATGACTACAGCCGTTAACAGAGGACAGAACAGAGTTTTCAAGGGACGAAGTAATTTGCCCAGATCAAAGTGGCGGAGGTAGGGTTCACATTCAATGTCTAATTCCACAGCATATGCCTCAAACTTCAACAGCTGGAAAAGAACACAGTAAGGGCGGTCCTAGACACCTTGGGAGTCCACCCTGAACTCAAGAGAGAACGCGGAGTGGCAGGAGGACGAGGGCTCTAGAGCCTCGTCTGCGCATCCCTGCCCCAGGCTGCGGAGTATCGCGGGAGCTCAGGTTCAGCCACCTGCCCGTGCTGTGGGGAGCTTGCCGCTATCGGACACAGATCCAGTTACTTTGCAGGGAGATGGTAGGCCAGTCCCCTGGAGGCATTCCAAGGAGAGCCACAGAGACGCCACAGGGATAGAGCGGGCCCTTTCTCTTCATGTGACATTGCAGCCACACCCCAATTGTCTATCTCCCAGCTGCCTGCTCTTGGCCTTCTCTGGGTCAAATGTCCACTTGAGGTTGTAGAGTTGAAAGGGAAAGACACTTGGAGTCTGTAAAGGTAAGTTCAGCTCTGCCTCTCCTTAGCTAACATTTCTGGCCTCAGTTATGCCATCTGTTAAGTGGGGAACCAGTACCTGTTCTCTCCCACAACAGAGGGAGCGATCAGAGGTGTGACACAGATGCTGGCTGTGCCCTTTGGCCACCAAACCTGATTCTGGTCACTTCTCCCTGTGCCACCTGGGGAATGCACGCCTCTTGGTGTGGTTTAAGCCCCCAATACTAGGAAAGTTAATCTCTTATACAAAAGCATTAGCTATCAAGGTCAAACAAAGGTTTGGGGCTTAGCAAGGCCATGACTATACATCATCGGCTGGGAAGGTTAGGGTCCACCTGATAATATTCTGCAGCTGTCCCTCCACTGGCAGAGTCACACGCTCTAACAAGAGAGACTCAGGCGGCCTCTGGGGTTGGCTTCCTGCTTCCAGGCAATGAGGTCCTGAAGCTGCCTGGCTGACGGATGGTACTGCATTCCAGAGTGCGAATCACGATGGGAGCGCCTGACCTGCCCGCACAGCTTGTTCAATGGGGGTCTGTTTCTCGGCCCAAACTGCAGAATCTGACTTCCAATGGTCAAAATGTTTGTTCCTCGAGCCTGTCTTCGGTCCAGCCGTGTGTGCTCCCCTTCCATTTCGCAGACTTCCTCAGGTGTGGGGGCCTGTGGCTGTGGAGGCGGCCGTTCCTCAGCCCTCCGCAGGAGCCTCTCGCAGGTTTTCCGGCATGGAGTCCCTCCCCTGCAGCCTCCTCGTCCCTGGCCCCGTCCATCAGCCTCTCCTTGCAGGACATACTTTCCATCCCTTTAATCATCTTTATTGCCTGGCTTTGGACTCTGTCCCAGGTCCACATCCTTTGCGAGGTGCGCTGACCTAACCCGGGCGTTTTGTTAGTCTGAGAGCGGCCCAGCGGAAGGGCAGCTTCCCAGTGCCTGCAAGTCACGCTCCTCTTCCTACATTGCTGGGTCACGCTGCTGCTTTCCGGAGGCCTGCCACTGTCCAGGGGACTCCTGCCGAGCCAGGCAGCCATGTGGACGTGGGGGCGGGGACCTGGATGCCGGGCCCGGGGAAGCAGGTCAGAAGGTGGCCTCTTATTCGGAAGCTTGGGGCCTCCCCACACCTCCAGACACGCACTCTGGGGCCCACAGGGCAGGGGAGGAAGGACGCTAAGCCTCTGCACTCTGCAACACCTCCCCAGTGCCCTGTGAACCCCACTCCCCCTTTAGGGAGTGCTCCCTACATCTTCTACCTGCCAGCACCCCAGACGCCAGGAACTAGCCTCTGTGAAGCTGTACAGCAAAAATGTAGCACATACAGAGCAACAGCCAGGGACAGGGCTTCTCCAGCTCTCCTGGCTCAGTTTCCCCTTTTCATGCTGCTGCATAAAAGTGCCCAGTGGTTCTGATTTCTAAGCCAGGACTGCCCTCGTCCCAGCAACCTGTGCATTCACGGTTCTCCGTTTCAGACCTGCTAAACCCACCAGCTGACGATGAGGCATTCGAGTGCCTGGTCCTCCACCCACCCCGAGCTGGTTGGCCACCACCCCACACCCCTCATTCAGGGCCCGAGTTCGCAGGGCAGGATCTGGGACCTGGGTCAGCCACAGTTCTGATCTCAAGGACATGCACGAGAAGGGGCACTTCTAGCTTTCTGAGCAACATTGTCAGCTGGGCTGTTTCTTGGCTCTCCAAGAACATTCCCTGTTCACTATGGGTAAAACCACAAGCCATCACCTTTATCTAAAGAGAACTTCCTTAGAGGAACACCTCATTTTAATTCCTCAGCCTCCCTCCCTCCCTCCCTCCCCCATCCCTTTTTTATATTTCCATTCAGAAATCATTTATGCATGTTCTAGCAAAAAATATACTCTAACAACTCCTTTTGCACAAATGGTCACACACTGCAAACATTCTGCACCCGAGGTTTTCCATTTGAAATAAACCTTGGAGTCCATTCCGTGGCACAAAGCCCTTAAGGAAACAAGGGCACGCCCTCCCAGGAAGCCCAGCCTCGGCTGCATACTTCTACCCAGGGCTGCCTCACGGTGCGTTTACTGGCCACTCGCTATCATACGGGGCCCTGAACTCCAGGGAGACCCTGGCTTCTGCTTTAGTGTAATGCTCTCCAGGCATCTGAGAGCATGCGCAGGTGCTGAGCTGTGTGTCACCTTTCACAGCAGAGTGGAGTACGGGCCAGGGGCGACTCCCAGCGACTGGGCAGGAGGAAAGATAGACACCCTTGGTATCGTGTTTCTGAGGCCTCCTGGAGGACATGTCTCAAAACACACGTTGGCTGCATCCCAGCCCCTTGGACCGCTGCTGTCGCTGTAAGGTCAGTAGAATGAGCATTTCTCCCCCTGAACTTCAAAACCTGCCCCGGACTCCTGAAAGCATCGATTCCGGGGCTCAACCAAGAGAGGCACAGCTGTCACTGCCTGACCGGTTACCTGCCTCCTGTGCCAGCCTCATAGGTATCAGCCAGTGACCAGGAAGAGCAAAACACAGGCAGGAGTAATGGAGCTACCGATGGTCGGCGGAGGACAATAAAACCCAAAGCTCGAGATGCAGTCTCTCCTACCTTCGGTCATTCCTTCTCCTCCGGAACAACTTCTTCGTGTGCGCGATCTCCACTTCGTGGGGCATCGGGTGGTAGCCCTGGGGTGTGGGGGAGGAGGGGGCATCGTTAGCAACTTCTGAAAGTGCGAAAGAACTTCTGGGACTGAAGTACCGATAATGACATCTATGGCAAAAGGAAACAGAGCATTTGGAAAGACTAGACTCTAACCACCAAAGCCAGACTGAAAAATGGAAATTACACGAGTGAAAGAATTTCCCACCAGGCAATGATGCTGGAAATCCAGAATCAAAAGCAGTAGGGACCCAAAGGGGACCTTAGCATTTGTCCCATCCAGTCACTCAAATTACAGATGTGAATGCTCAGGCCCAGAGAGGTGAACGAGCGGTTTGAGCACTTGTAGAGTTTGCAACAGAGCTGGGACCCCATCCTGGATTCATGGGCTGCACGACTGAGACGTTACTTCTCTAACAGCACGCTGCTCACACAACAGGGACGTTAGTATCTTCTTTTCTGAGCTGCCGAGAGGACCAAGAAGACTCAGGCCCCTTGCAAACCCTGAGCCTCATATACAGGGAACATGCTAGAACCCAGGTCTCCTCATCCAAGTCCAGGGCCCCTGCACAGTATTATACAAAATCCTCCCAGGGAGCAGCTAAGGGAGCATGCCAAAAGCTAAATGCCTTTTAAAATTTTAAACTGGGGGAAATCCTAAGGATGGTCTTTTCTGTACTGTCAGCAGGGCAACAGCATTTATACATTTACTTCATGACCAGTGAGAGGCCCCCTGTTTATAACGGGGGGCAGATCCCAGCAATGCCAGGCCCCAGGTAGGATTACTTGCAGAAGCTGGGATGACGGCCAGCTCTGTTCTTACCACCTCCCTCTCCGCGGCAGAAAAGCGTGTTCTGGTGGGATGTGGGGAGAACACTGCCAATCCATACGGACGCTGGGGGTCAGGGGGTGGAGCACCTAGGTCTGGGGTCTGGGAGGAAGGTCTGGTGTGGTGTGAGTCTGGGGCACCTGGGTGCAGGCTGACTCAGAGTCCACGGAAGCCTGGGCACGCCCAGGGTGAGAGAGGAAGTGACGGAGCCTACTGTTCTGGACAGCGGTCGGTCAGAGTCCCTAAAGCCCAGCCCCCACTCTACAGACAGGGAGACTGAGGCCCAGAGAGCTCATATGATGAATCAGAGACAGGCACTCTGTGGGGCTGGCAGCCCGGACCCTCTACGGTGAGGGCATGTGCAGGCCTCTGCATTTGGGCTCCACAGCTGAAGGCTCTGCTGGCTCTGGGGGCTCAGGGTTCAGCCCCTGACCAAGGCGGGGGCAGGGGTGTGATGGACAATGGCAGCTCTGGCTGTGCATGGAGGGCACCGAGAGGGCAACAGGCTCGGGGGGACACAGGGGCCCTGGTGTTGTAGACACTCAGCCTAGACTCCTATTGAGTCTGGGGAGGCAATGACATATTTCAAAGTATATTTTAATAATAGTGTCTCCCTCCCACCCTATCTTGCCTCCAACAATGCAGCCAAAAAGGCATGAATGAATTCCGGGCTCCAGGCAGCCACAATGGGCCTCTGTGGCTTTAGGATGTGCTTTGTTTAATGGTTCTCTCAAAGGACATTATTTGCTTTCTTTAATACAAAACACAAACAAGGAAAAACACCACGTCTTCCCCTCTCATTTCCCCTCTCCCACCCGGCCCAGCACCGGCCGGCCTCTTCCCTCACTCTCCCGGCCGGCCTCAGCTCACTGCAGGAACGCACTGGGTGTGCCTGGCTGAAACAATGGAAGGAAGCAAGGGCTCCCTCTCAAGCCGGTGGCCTGGACCAGGCTCTTAGCCTCAGCCCGGGCAGAGGGCGCTGTCCACAACTGCGGGCTCTCCAAGAGCCCAGGAGGTGCCGGTGGCCCTTGTTTGGGCCTTAGAGTCTGGGCTCTACCTGCATCCTGACCTCCTCCCTAACCACAATGGCCAAAGCAGGGGGGAGCTGCCCTGGGGCCTAACCTCAGCAGGGTGTTACAACTCTCTGCCAGGACCCAGTGTAGCCTAGGGGATATGCAGGGCCACTTAGAGCTTCTAAATAAGCCATGGCTGAAACCTGTGTATGCATCCAGCCATCCCCCGAATTAATATATGTGCATGTATTGCCCTGACTGGTGTGGCTCAGGTGGGTGGGCATTGTCCCACAAACTGAAAGGTCGTATCCCTCCAGTAGAGGAGAAGTTGAATTGTCAGAATTATCCTTTAAAAGTACAATTGGCCTTTGTGTTCTATTCTTTCAGGGAACGTGCCTTAGTTGCAAGTTCAGTCCCCGGTCGGAGCGCGTGTGAGAGGCAACCAATTGATGTTTCTCTCTCATGCAGATGCTTCTCTCCCTCTTTTTGTCCCTCCCTTCTCCTCTCTCTAAAAGTAAATAAAATCTTAAAAAGATAAAGAGCATATGCATGTGCATATATAAAATATTGTAATAGTCAAAAGAACGGCTCTGGGGCCAAACTGCGACATTCAACCAGGCTCTTTCTCTTGATGGTGAATAAATGAAAGAGCCCTACCTCCCTTGGGGCACTTACATTCTACATAGAACTTTCAGGCATTCAGCATACAATGGGGTGCACTGCTATACATGCTTCATTGGCGAACCCTCTCCCATCAGCCAACTTTGCACCTCATACCCAAGCGGGTGGTTGGTATCAAGTTGACACACAATATTCAAGATGCTGCCCATATGCCCTCCAAAACAACAGTATCTTGGTGCCAACTGGGGCAAGTATGAGGCCAACAGAAGAAGAGAGAGGAAATTTGTGTTTAGCCACATATTTGCTATCAAATAAGCGGCTGGTGCAGGCTACCAAAAGTTTTTTAAAGTCACTTGCAAGAGGTAAGACTTGTACATGAATGTTCATAGCAGCATTACTTATAATCGCCAGAAATGGAAACGATCCAAATGTCCATTAACGGATGAGTAGATAAAGAAAATGTATTAGAGGGCAATAAAGAGGAAGGAAGTCCTGATACATGCTACAACATGGATGGGCCTCGAAAACATCATGCTCGTGGAAAGGAGGTAGCGACCAAAACCACGTATTGTACGACTTCATTTTAATGAAATGTCTAGAGTAGGCAAACCTGCAGAGACAAACAATATGAGTAGTAATCGCCAGGGTCTAGGGAGAGGGAGAATGGGGAGTCACTGCTAATGGATACTGGGTTTCCTTTTAGGGTGATGAAAATACTCTGGATTAGACAGCAGTAGTGGTTGTACAACCTTGTGAATAAACCAAATGACATTTAATCATACACTTTAAAAGGGTTAATTTTATGGTATGTAAATTGCATCTCGATTTAAAAAGGTGGAAAAAAACCTCTGAGAATAGTATATTCCCAGCAGAGGGAACAACAAGTCTTAGGAAGAGGAAGATTCAGTCACAATGAAAAGTGGGGCTCTCTCACTCAGTTACTCTCCAGCAAGCAGCTGCCCTAAGACACTGTCCACAAGATAAAACAGGAAAGGGTGGCATGTCCCAGGCAAGCACCCAATGACATGCGTGACAAGGAATCTAGAAGGAAAATAAATTGGCATCTCCAGGCCTGGCCAGGGGAGATGGTATTCCAGCTTTCAACCAGAGATCCCTCCCTGCTCTTTAGGCAGGACATATCCCTCCAGTAGAGGAGAAGTTGAATTGTCAGAATTATCCTTTAAAAGTATAATTGGCCTTTGCTCTAATTCTTCATTCAACAAATCCTTACACTCCCTCCATGCTTTGAAATAGCTACATGTGGATGTCAGTCCAGACAGAAGCCCCGCTACCTCCTGCCATAAACGACAGCGCCGGCCTTCTGGTTAACCAGCTGGTTTGTGCGCTTATTCAGTGGGAGTCAGTTGCCTCTGTGGCATCACCCTGCACCTCTCAGGCCCTGACTGGTCCTCCTCTGCTTCTCTACCTGAGAACCCTTCTCCCTTCAGCTCTGAGACCTGGCTCAGTGCCCCTCTGTCTAACCTCTGACCACTTTCAATAGCTAAATGTGCCTAGGAGACAACTAGATTATATAAACCAAGTCTCTCCAGGGAGAGAGGGAAGATAATACTCTTGCGTGTGGCGCTGGCAGAGTACACGTGAAACACACACACACTCTCTCTCTCCCCCTCCAGGAGGTCAGCCCTGTGTAAGACACAGCACTGCAGGGCAGCGCATTACTGCTCTGGTTGCAGAACCGTGTTATGTAAAATCCGCCCTTTCCAGGGCAGAGCTGCTGGCCTCAGGCTGGAAGTGCAAGGGCCCTGCCTTGAGATGACAACTATAAACAAACAAACCTTGGGTCTGGGGGAGTGGAGAGGGAGGGAGGGCTAAAGCAAGGACACTGAGCCAGGAGAGCAGGAGTGCCTGGTGTCTCCGAGGCCTGCAGACTCTGTGCTAAGAGACTCACTCCCTCCGAGCCACAGACGGCTGCCCCCTCAGCCTGTGCATCCATCCGCTCACACATCTACTCTTCCATTCATCTCCCCATCCTGTAAGTATTGTCGTTTCAGGCACTGCAGATACAGTAGTAAAAAATAGGCAAAATGCCTATTCTTACAGAGCATCCATTCTCGCGAAAGGAGAGAGACAAATGAGTAGATAATATGGTAAATGACGGAAAATGCTTCAAAGCAGAACAAGGCCGGAGCGGGGTGGGGACAGTCAGGAAAGACCTCTCTGTTACTTGCTATGTACCCATCAATCCATCCACCCATCTGTCCATCCTTGGGTCTTCCTCATCCAACCAGGGCTGAAGGCCTACTGCTCAGTGTCAGGTGCAGCTGGTGGAGAATCCAAAAATGAACAGACCCAGCTGCAGCCCTAGGAACTCAGGGGGCCACAGATGAGTAAGCTGGTGTGTGCTGTGTGCAACACAGAAGTTGAACGGACACCTCTGGCTGCCCCAGAGGAAGGTATGCGCATCTCTGCTTGGGAGAAGGGTCAGAGAAGCTTTGCTGAGAGGATGGTGCCTGAGCGGAATTTTAAGGGTTCAACAGGGGCTCAAGAGAGAAGCATGTTGCAACCCTGACCTGCTGGCCAGTAATGCCCACATCATGACAGA